GAAAACGGCGCCGGGGGAGCAGCAGCCGCAGAGGAGCTGACTGGGAGCGAGGATGCGGGGGACAGCGGTGTCCCCACGGGGCATCTGCGGCCGGACCGGGACACCCCACGCTCGGAGCACGGGGACGGTGAGCGCTGGGGGTGACGCGGGGTGGTGGGAGCCCAGATGGGGCACTGGGGGAACTGGGATCCCGCAAAGTCTGTGCCCGCTGTGAACTGGGAGCGACGTGCCCTCCGCCCTGGGGTCGGGGTGCTGGTTGGGTGTCGTCGTGCCGCTCGTGAAGCCCAGCCAGCAGAACCACGGTCCCCAACAGCCGCCCTTGTTTCGCAGGTGGAGCAGACGCCCTCCCACCGCCCTCGACTGCCGCGATGGACAGGCAGAGGAGCAGCGAGCTCTCGGCCCTCGACAGTGAGTGCTGCAGGGGCTCACAGACGCTCAGGCGCAGCCCCAGTGGGAGACGGGCGTGGGAGAGGTCATCTGGGTCTCTCCATCCCACAAAGGCGGCTAGAAAAAAGGCTTTGGCCACTTCCGTAACGCGGCAAGGCCAAGTCCAAACCCAGACCTTGCTGACGACGCCCGCCGGCAGTGAGAGGTCGCTGCAGCTCCGTGCAGCAGAAGCAGAGGCGGCAAACTCTTGCCGTGTACTTTTCCTCATTACGAATCGCTTGTTGAAAACACGTGGAGATTTCCAGGTGGAGCTTTTGGAGGGTCGGAAACACGAGGGTGAACTCGAGCGCGTCCCCCAGGCTGTCCTTCAGGAGATCGTGTGCAGTTACGCTGTTAAGGCCGGATCCCTGCGTTCCGCGGTGCCCCGGGTGGACCCTGCCCCTCCTTGGGCAGCTCCCTGGGCCGTGTTATCGTCCCTGCTCAGCTGTCAGTCCCTGCACACTGGTCAAACCTCAATCTCCAGGCTCTTTATGTGCAAGGGGATAACTCCTTTTCTGCAGAACTCTTATTTTTTTTTGCCAGGGATGGGAAGGAACAGGTTCAGACACGGCGCCTGAGCCCTGAGCTTGCGTGAGGCTCTTGGCCTCAGGTCAGCGTAGTTCCTCCCTGTGCACGAGGGGACGTGCCCTGACTCCCTCCTCTCTCTGGAACAGGCTTCCCTCTGAAGCACTCCAACACGCTGACGAACAGGCAGCGAGGTAACGAGGTGTCAGCCCTCCCAGCCACGCTCGACAGTGAGTATTGCTGGGCTGCGCATCCCAGACCGCAGATGGACGTGGGGCGTAGGGGGAGCAGGGGGACAGCAGGACGGGAGCCTCCCTCCGTCTCCTCCAGCCACGCTGTTCCGTGTCCTTCGGGGTGGTCTCTCAGGCTGCTCCCTGCAGTGTGGTTGCTCTCGGCACTCGCCGGGGCTGGCTGTCCCTGCCGCTGTATGGCGGACGGGTGTT